CATATCGTTCTTCACTCCCCTATGATTAAGTACACATTCCTCTGCATCCTCTCAGGAAAGAAGGAACAGAATGAGACACATCTGCTGAATATGAAACACTTTCTTCTCAAAAGAACTATGCCTAGTCAGGAAAAACAGACCTTTTTTAGTAAATACATGACTCTCTGTTGTACGCAGTACATCACAATGCCCACAGGCAGCTCCTGTGTGGTCCTTTGGCACTAACAGAGTTTCACTCTTGTGGGTACCCTAAGGTTCATCATAAAAAAACCCCAGATTTGCTCAAGCACATTTAAAGACATATGCTATTTCTGAGATACATGCAGAAAAAAAAAAAATCAGCAAAATATAAGCATGAGTATGTAAAGTGCTTCTGATTTTCTACTTACTAAGGGCACCATCAAGTTATAATTCATGAGTGATTACTTATTTAATTCTTACTTACCTGGACATGTCCTCTGGTTGAGCATCTGTGCTCTGCTGACAGAAATCTTTGTCCGGGGTCCTACTTTTGTCCAGCCCATGAGCAGGTGAATAAAGACTGTCTGCATCAGCCCCCCAAGTGTTGGATGGGCTCCTCTTTCTTAGCTATGCAATGCATTATGTGCACATGGTACTTCTCAGACAAAACACTGCTTACCTTAATACCCAGGAGTGCAAAGATTTTACTGGGATGTGTGCTGTATTCATGAACTTGCTAAAGTGATTTCCATTAGTTTTGAATTGAGGGCTCAGAGATTCCTAAATCAGTGAGTCTTGAGATAAATTAAGTTGTATCAAGCTGACTTCTTCATCCCTGCTTTGTTTATATAGAAATCTTTAACAACACAGAATTTGCCTCTACTTTTTCCTGTAAAGGGCATGTTTTCCCATTGCTGGCAATTCCCACTGGAGAGAGTAGGACAACAGTTCTACACAAGAGCTAAAGGCATTTGAAGAAACAGAATACCTTAGAAAAGTATTTCCAGGAGAGACCAATGGGTACTCCTCTCCTAAAGCACTTTAAGAGCATTTTTCAAAAGTTGGAACACCATCTGCTCCTAAGTAGAACTCTTCCTTGGTCCTTCCCACTTACTGATGTAACTGATAGAAGCAGTCTGCAAATGGAGCTTCCCAGCCCAGATGGAAAGGGAATTTGGCTGGATACATAGACTACTTCTTTTCTTTCTGTGACAAGGCCTTGGTATAAGCAGAGGAATGTGATCTGGACATCTAGAGGGGATGAGAGGGTTGAGATCACATCTGCTGTGTCTGTTTGGGAAAAAAAAAAACCACAACATTTTTTATGTTATTCAATTAATTACCTGTGAATTAGTAATTAGCCAGTCCAAATGACTTTTTTTTCTTAGGAAATTTTCTGCTCCTATTTAAAACTTTTTTTCCTTAAAATTAAATCAGAAGGTAATGCAATGTAAAACATAAAGTGTATTAAAATTTAAACATTTATTAAAACTAAGCCTACAGCAAGCCAAACAATAAATGCCTTTTTTTCCTTCAAAAAGTTTATTTTAAAAAACCTAACTAAATTATAAAAGAAAACATTTGGTGACTACTTAGCTGACTGATGGAAAAAAAAAAAAAAAGCCAAATTATTTGTGAGTATTCCTCTATTAGCAGCAATGTGACTATCTATTTTGAAAAACTCAGGTAAACTCCCTGCTTGTTTTATACACATGAGTAGTTGATTAAAATAGGACTGCTTGAATGAATAAGCAATTAGGATCTGATTACATTCAGGTAAACTGTAGTTTATTCTTTATTTTAAAGAATTAATAAATGATACTCAGCTGGTGTCTTAACTGCTCTCAGAAGGTGAATCATCAAGGTCTCTTACTACACAGCCAAGTACTGAGATTCTTTCTTCAGTACCACAGTGCTCATTTTTAACAGATTTCGACAAAGTCGTTTCTTTGTAGAATCATCTTTAACACAGCGGTCACGGTTCCTTACTCATATAATAAAAATCATGCAAATATGTGTTTAGTTTATGCTAAAGACAGGCTCATTTAAATAAGGGAACTGATGTTCATTTACTCTAGTGTGAATGAAGCTTGCTGCAGTGTTTCTAAAAGTGGATCTGCTCTTACTACAAATTCAAGCAGAGAGCAACACTTTTACTTTGCTCTGTGACAACTGCACTCTAATGATGTTCTCAATTTTGCTGTACATTTAGCTGTTCTTAGAGCTGTATTTTTCTTAGCTAGCCTTTGCAAGAGATATCGTTTCATACGGCATGCAAGCACTTTACAAGGAGCTTAAGCATGAAGCACATATTTTACAACAGATTTATGGTGATTTGGCAAGTCTTAATTATCTTAAAAACTTCCTCAGGCTTAAAAACTGCCTTGTATGTGAATGCAACTCAGGCAAAATCCTTATGCTGTGCTTCCTGGGGAGAAAGACTACGCTTCATGTAAGTCTGTACTTCCATGTGCAGCACTTTCATAGTAACTTTCTATTAACCCAAAGACCTTCTAAATACAAGTTCAATTTGACTGATGTTCTCCTTTTCAGCTCCTCTTCCCACAAGGGAGCTATAGGTTTTCCCAGGCTGCCCTGTACAGCATGTGTGGAACATTCTCCCCAGTTCTGCATGTCCTGTATTCTTCAAATCCTGCATTACAATTTTTTTATTAGCTTTCCATCTATCCAGCCATCCATCTGAACTGAAAAGATGCATATGCATATGGCAATAAATCTAGCTCACTGTTTTTTGCTACTACAACTCTTCATCCATGACCCTTCCCCCTCTTGATTTCATCCCATGCTGTATTAGCCTACAATTGATTTTAAACTCCAGGGATGAGAAGCAGCCACTTTAAATTATTTGTATATTATAGCATTGCCTGTAGCCTTCAGACACTTTGGGCACCTCTTCTGCAAGGCATTACACAAATACTTTGCAAATAAGAATATCCATCTCAAGAGCTTACAAAGAAAGTCAGTCAAGACAGGGAGTAGGAAAATATTGTTCTCCTTTTCCAAACAGGAAGGTGAGACATCAAGTCACGCAGGAAGTCTGGGACAGAGCCTGTATTTGAATACAGATGTTTATCCGGGATCATAAGCATGGCCCCAGCCTTTGTCTGACAACCAGCATGAACACTTACAGCACTAAAGTAAGCAGTGAAAGCTGAGCTATATTAAAAATAAAATCACTTACAGAAGAAAATAGAAGAGGCAAGAGAGATGATACCCTGGTATCACCTACCAACAGGAACAAGAAACCAATGATCAGGAAGAGGAACACTGGTGAAGAGATTTCCTCCCCATCCTAAGAGTTGAAGCTGCTGATGAGAATATATATGCCATGAACATATAAAATATAGATTTATATATACAAATATACAATAGGAAATAGTCAGTATACAAATACTTACATGTAAAAATAGCTTTTTACTTTCCCCTTTTCATGATTTACAAAAGCATACAAAGTTTCCTGTTGGTTAATGTTTAAGTAGTGTGAGTAAACCCTGTGTGTCATGTTCCACACATAATTCTTTCAAGTGTTCACAGTATTGGCTATTACAGTGTTGAATCTGACATTCCAGATGTTAAAATATTTGTAGGACACATTCTAAACTTAAAGCATTAATTTAAATACAGTTTAAATAAAACTCACATGTGTAGTTGAATTATGGTCATATTACAAATGAGTCTGCTGCAGTTGAAAACTTTCCATGAGAATAAGCTTGGAAATACATATTTCAGCTAGAGATGAGTATATTTTAAAATTCTTGAACTGCCTCTTGATGTGCAGATAATACTGCAAGGTGGTGAGTTCTTTCAACTCGATCAGAAGCAATGCAAGCTGAGAGAACTCAGTATTACAAATTATCCTCAGTAGGAAAGTGGATGCACAGAACAATTCGCCATCAGATCCAGACATGCTGTCACTTTTCTCAAATACCCAATAGACAACAATAAATGACAGGTACCATTGCTTTTTTATTAAGAATAAATGCTTTGTAGCATTCTTCATCAGGAAAGTGCTTTATGGTCTTAAATTAATCCTCACAACTCCCTTGTGAGGTAGACAGATACTATCCCCATTTTTAAAGATGGAGAAATTGGAGATTTAAAATAAATTATGATGGCTGCATGGGAAATACTGTCAAAATACTGGTATTTGGATGTTGGAGCAACTCAAAGGCACAGCTGGAATAAATGGAAATGTTAATGAGACAACTTTACACTAACCAGCTTCGGTACTGACAGCAGGCTTGGTACAACAGCCAAAGGTTCAGCATGGGCTGCAAAACACAGCCTTTGCTAAGTGCTGTGCCGCTGGAGCTAAACTGTGGGACAACAGCCTCAAAAAGTACAAAACATGTCATCCAAGATGGTGCAGCCTGCCCAGGGTGGAAGGAAGCTGCATTTCAGAAATTATTAATTAATCAGGAGCTTTGAGTAAATAATATCTTTTCATCCAAGAGTTGTGTACAGTTCAAGAACCATGTTTAGCTCATCTCTAATTTTATCACATATGCAAGTGCTCACAGGTATCAATGTATTCAGGTGTTTTTTAAAATTTACTTACTCATAGACCTTGGAGGTCTATATTTTTCCTCGTATTTCTTTTGTGGAATATTTCTACTAATACCACAAATGGAACTAGTGCTGCAGTACTGCAAATGAGCTACAGATACTCATTTTAATTAACTAAGGTGATGGACAAGTTTTAAAGGTCCATGTTTTCTGTGTGCACCTGTATATACACAAGATCTCATCTGTCTTTAACTGCTACTGCCTTGAAGTAAAATCCAGTTGAAGTATAAAGTGCATTATGTGGAGTAAAACCCTAAGAAATAACAAACAATGTGTCTGCCTTCCACAGATTGATTAATTTTGCTTAACAGCTGAACCATAGCACTCTTTGTCTTCTAGTTTTTAGTTTAGTGTTACCTAGGCTGAGAAAGGCCAGCCAGATGTAAGCAAAATTATTGTAAACTGAGACATTTTTGTAATATGCGGTTAAGGGAGGGTTAAGAAAACCAGTATCAAGACACTGTCCAGTTGGGGTGTGTAAATATTATTGTGTGTTTCTTGGCCCATTTAGCAAATACTTTCTTTTCCGTGATAAACCTATGGCCTCCATATGGAGCATTTTCATGCAGAAAGTATTCTTCACACTCATCTCTTCCTGGCTCGTAATAGTGGTAGGGAACTTTACGAAAGCCTTCTGACCTGGGGAAAAAAAAGATACACTTAAATATTATTTCCAAGAAAAACATTAATATATACTGCACCTGAATTCACTGAAATCCTTTTCATGTGTCAGCACCTGAGCTCCTTTGCTAAATTGTATACAGGCTTTCATTACAGCATGATTTGTATGAATTTTCCTGTAGAAAATGAAGCTATGTGTAACTCAAAACACACTGATCTTATCAGTCAGTAAGAAGCCCTTGGGCTGGCTTTTATGGGTACTGCACATTTTGTGTAACCTGGGAGAGCTCAGTCCATAAGGCTCCATCCCTAAGCAAAGTCTTTTCATTGGATAGTCCCAACTCTTGAAACTGGTTCTTGAACTGGCTGAATAAGGCAGTTGTAAGAATAATATACATTATATGTAGGTAATGCAGTCAGAATTGCAGCTTTAAGGAAACCCATCCTTCTCTGCTGCCAACAGACTGAAGTGCTATCATGCTGTTTACTGGTTTTACATCAGGGCTATGCGATGCCAGCTTGGCTGAACTCTGTAAGGACAACTTCAGTCCTGTCACCCCTCATCTCAGGGCGCCTACTATGTTTTCATAAACAAAGAACAGCATATGTTCGTTCCATCTGGATGACTCACTCAATCAGCGAGATCTGCAAGTTCTAAAAAGTCAGCTTCTAATGTTAAAATACCCTAATTAAACAGCTGTGACTCAAATTCTTTTTTTTAGGGTCTGCCGGGAATGAGTCCCACACTGGAGTAACACAGAATGTGGAGTGAGGGTCTGCACAGAGACTTCACCCTAGGAGCTGAGGACCCACCGGACTGGTTACATGCAAGACTTGAACCAGCCTAGGTACAGAAGAATAGATTTGTACTAGCATCATACATTGTTTGTGACATTTCCTGCTTTTCTGAATGAGGAATAGTTTCATTTTATATTTTGCTACCATATACTGTAGACTAAAGCATTTGACTTGGACTTTTAAAAATTGTGTTTAGAGTTATACTTCTGACAATAGGATGAATCCATTGTCACTGTAAGGTCACTAACAGTAGTTGTTTGGAATTTATGTCAGTTTACTGTGATAAAGCTTGCAGGACTTGTTTTATTATCTAATTAGAAACCCCCTACTACTCAAAACAAGCCATATATAACATAGAAAGTTCAAGTAGGTTGCTCAATGGTGTTGAAATGTAATTTCAGGTAACTACCCTGGGCTAATCAGTTTCTTTCACTTCCAGGTATATTTGGTATTCAGAGAACTAATATGTAAGTATTTCCTCTACAGATTTGTTTTAGCAGTAGAAGTAAGTACATTTTGTCAGAAGAGTATGAACATACTTTGTTTCCAGCTAATTCAGAGACTGCAAAAGATCTTTGATTAAAAATAGTTCCTTATGACATCTGATGTTAGATTTCGTAAATGTTTTTATTTTAACAACAGAAAATGCCGTATCAGGACTAAATATGCTGACAATAGTGTCACATCAATTCAAAACACTGGGAAATGACTGCCTGATCCATTTTTTGGATTTATGATATTAAAATCAATTGTGAAATTTTGACAAGACATCAGAATTGTAGATGCATGAAAATAATTTCCTGTGATCTTACTTGCAGTAGGTGTCATTTATCATCCCATAGACGTGAATTCCATAGCAGGCATCCATAGCCAAAATTAAGGTAAACCAACCCGTACTGAGATATGAACCTGACTGGACTCTGTAAAAATACAACATGCACAAAACAAATTGCCATGAGAAATTATCAACACTTTATCAAAGAAATATAATCTATTACCTGGGACAAAAGGCATTAAGCAACTTGACAATCTGTCAAAACCATACAATTATTTTGAATTATTTATTGATACGCTCTCATTCTTGCCAGGTTGGGGCCTCAAGCTATTGTCCACAGTAAAAATACCCTGTTAAATATCTGAAGTCAAACAATGCATCTCCCATAAGACAGAAAATAATTTATTTTTACATCTGAAAGATAGCAATTAGTAGAGTGTGTAAGATGAGATACAGTTCACCAAAAAGCAAACTCCTGCAGTTTTTGTGCTGTGTGCATGTGAGTATGCACCATCCTTCTCCACAAGCAAAATCTTAGTCTGCAGTGGGCTATGCTCACCTTGAAAATTCACAGAGTAATGAAACTTTTAAGGACATTATGGTAGAAAACCATCTAATACAAGGCTTTGAAAAACAAAATTCTGTGCATATCCCTTTATGTAAGTTTGTGTTATCATTCTTTAAGATAATGTAGCAGAGAAAAAACACAAGAGGACCGTGCCCAGATTGATAACTTTTGCTCAAATAACTAGTTGCATTAAATCAGTCCAGAAGTATTACCTACATGAGTGAGAACAGATGATGTGTAACGATTTGGCTCGCACACCGGCTATGTGAGCAAATGTATGTGGTGGTATTTGCAGACCAGATCCTGTTCCCTTTACTCACACAAGTGTTACCAATGGGGGACTGGGAGTCAACAGAGCCACCCATATAACCCGGGCAAGCAAGACTTACTGCTTTAACACCTCATAAGTAGTAAGAACAGACTTAGCCCTTTCTGCTTACAAACTGGTTGAAGTCCAGCTTTGTGCATGTATTGCTTTCAGTTTGACTGAAATCAATGAAAATAATTACCTTAAAATTATAAATTATTTACGTAATTTCCAAAGAAAGATATCACAAAAGTCATGAAACCATCTTAATAGAGCCCCAACTTTGGCTCAGTTTGAGAGAGTTGGGTATGAGTGAGAGGAGGGGATAATTCTGCTTTATGCCACATCTTTTAGCTCTCAGCTTTTGGGTACAGCAGGGAGCAGTCTGTTCTCCATCATAAGTTAAAGTAGCCTAAGGTTTGCACACAATTAAATTTTGCTGCAAAAGGACTCCCAAGGAGGTCGATGTGTGAATCAGTTTATCATCAACAAAAGCTTCTGAAAACATTTTCATCCTGGGGTAGGAATAAAGCTTTCATGTGGAAAAAAAATATCATGTAGCAAATAACCCAGCCTATAAAACCCAGCTTTCCTGTGAGATAGAAGAACCAACCTCAGGTGTTTCTTCCTGGTTCAGAGCAAGAACATACTATGGTCTCCTGCATCCCAGGTAAATCTGCCAGTCAGTGGCTTTTGGCTCAGATTCTGTGTTACTTTCTTGCTCTTTCTTCTTGAAGTTTGACTAAATAACAATTAAGATGATGGGTGAAAAAGTAGTTGTACAACCTCTATAATGACATTTACCTGACACATACAGGACTGAGATTCAAATTCCTTTTCTGATGACTACCTTTTGTTATGGATAGTAGAAAAGCTCCAAGAGCTTTACATTCCTAAAGAAACCAGTACCCGCCAGTTTAAACATATCTTATTTTTTTTAGTGAAAAACAATTACCTCAATTCCCAGAGAGTTTTACTGTACTCAAGAACATTCAAAGTAATTTGGGCGACATCTTCTCTTCCTTGCCCATGTCTATCATCCTTCATGGGTTATCTGGTGTGAACTTCTATCCCTACCTTTCCTGAAACATCCTTTTCCTTGGGGAAACTCGTAAGTATCATAAAGGACCATTCTGGAAACAATAAATAAAATGTTAACTTAGCACTGAACAATGACAAGTGGGAACAAAAGGCAGGGTGTCAAATACCCGTGTTTCATTAGGTGGACACCAACTATAATTGTGCTTCTTTACTTGACACCTTTATAGCCACGAAACTGTATGTCTGTTCGTCTGTCCTGTTAGGATCTCCATTTCTTCAAACAGAATGTTCTGCTACTGTCTAGCAAAGAGAATTCCCGATCTGGTTCATGTTATTTCAGAGTAACATTCTGCCATGATAAAAAGCTGCATTGCTTCTAACTTGCTTTCTGCTCTTGCACCAGAAGAACACTATCCTTGAGCTTTTAAAGCCATTTAGAATCATAATAACCATTTATAAGAACACTATGAAGATCAGGACCCTTCCGATAATGGAGGTTTATTGGAGAGTACTATATTGACAGTAGCATCTGAAATTTGCTATACTCAGGAGGAAAAAGGAATTTTAAAAAAGAATTAATCAATATTTCATGTCTTGTTTTAACACCATTGGACCTTAGTCCTCTCATCTATATACTACACTGGCAGGATAAATAAAAACAGCAGAATGAGTTCCCAGATACCTTCCCTGGGAGATGAAGTACATGACAGAATACAGATTATATACTTTAAAACAAAACACTTGCATTCCTCCCATTTTTTCCTCTGAAGATACATAGGGATACAAGGGAATATACTTAAGCAGTGGGGATTCTGGGTGATTTGGTAACAGCTTAGAATTCAATCTGATACCATAAACATACTTTCAACATTCTAATGAAAGCAATATTAGAAATGTGAAAACAATTTTAGCTGTCCCTAAAAAGCCATAAATCTCTGAATACCTTTTAAAGTATCATCCCATAAAACTGTAGTGCAAAGCAATGTCTCAGCCCTTGCTATTATGTTAACACAGTGCACTCAATTTCTTTCTCTACAGGAGAGTTTTACATGTTTTTTGGCCAGGGCTTTTTGAGACTCATTAGAAAGAGTTCCTCTTGTTACTGTAATTGCATTCAAATGTCAAATTTTATACACTGAAAAGAAAAGAATCCTCTATTTATGTGTAGCATAAGGCTATGTTACTGCACAAATCTGAGGGAAGGAGGACATTAATCCCAAAACAGGGAAAACAGGAGTTTGTTAAACATCATCCATAGAACTACTATAGGCAAATCTGTTGTGATATATGTGTGTGCAGCAAATCCAAAATTATTCCTTGTGGCTCACAGTGACTTTTTCTTATACTCTAAAATTAATGGGGCACCAGATCTAGGCAGGAAATTGTCTCAACAGCTCAGGAGAAAATAATGCACTATTTTTCAAAAAATGCATTTAAAAAGAAGATGGTTTTGCTTTCAAGACATGATTTACAGCTGGATGCAGCAATAAAAAGGCAATGCTCACAAAAAGTTACTTTGTCTGTTTATCTCAAAAACAAAAGCTTATTTTGCATACTTCCTACATTATTAGGATTCCTAAAGAAATGTTAGTTACTGGGATGTAACTCATTCTGCTAAATACCATCCAGCATTTCAGAAAAGTACATAGGCATATGCTTAATGTTAAACACATGAAAAGACCAATGGAATCAACTTAATTAAGATGCTTGAAACAAAGTATATGCTTCCCTATCTTGCTCTTAGTGAAGGTTTAAGTGCTTAAAATGTCATTATTTCATCTCAGAATATAAAAGTAAGCTCCAAGATTAATAGTTATTTGCACATTTCAAGTCTCAAAGCATAGAATTTGCATTTTCAGTAATGCTTTCCATAAACTCCAGTAGAAAGAACTGACTATAGTTTCTCACAACACCTTAAAAAGGAGACTTGCCTTCTATATTTTAGAAGGAAATGGTAAAAAACATGTTTAGCATTGCTAGAATTGTAATGTGTGACACATAAAGCTTTACTTAAAAATTAATTAAAAATAAAAGCAATTAGATGGGGTTCTTTAGCCTTAGCTTTCCAATATTCTACCAAAAAAAAAAAAAAAAAAGAAAAAAAAGAAATTGATATAAAGAAGATAGAATAGGGAGTGCCCCATAAAAATGTTGGTGACTGAAATTCATCTTCTTTGACATCTATAACCGTGCTTTGATGTAGGCTAAATGAGGGAAAAACTAGTTCCTTCTCTCATCAGGGGAAAATGGAGGAACATAAACTATTTTCTTAACGATCAAGGGCAGGTGAGTTCAAATTGGGTAAAAGTTTTGTTGTCACTCAAGTTCTGATTTGACCATAGAATTACAGGAAGTTCTTTTCTTTGTTCAATTGTTCCAGGACTTTTTATGTGCACAATCGATTCTAGCTCTATGGTTCAATGGACTGTAATTTCCAGTGGGGACTTCAGTGGTAAAAAAATAAAAATGAAAAAAAAAAAGTTTGTTAAGGTGGAGAAGACCTGTAGACAAGCAATTTCATGTCAATCTGATTGCAGAAAAGAATTTAGAAGCCTGTTTTTTAATTCTTTACTGGGAGAAATTAGAGAGCACAGAAGGTCAATTAAGGGTGTTAATTAAGATGAAAACTGAAGAAATTTAGGACTTCAAGAAGCTATTAAGTAACAGAGAGCTTGCCAAAAGCATTAACTAGGCACTTTCCCCTTTTTACTTCATTTCAAAATATTGCAGTAAAATAAAATTCAACAATGACAGATTGAAATTACAAGATTCTCCAGGCCAATTAATTGACAAAAGAATTTATCTTTTCATAAAGGCTGTTTATAGACTCTAATCCTCAGATGACCCTCCTACCAAACTACTGAATCAGCAGCAGCTTTATTTGCAGCAGCTTGTCAGGCCCCTTGATTAATAAATAAGCATAAATAAGGGTATTGGTGTAAACAAACTAATCCACAGAGTGGAGGCTTCATAATGTGACGTGTCCTTCCAACATGCTAAAAGATTTGTAAAAATGATTCAAAATAAATAGAAATATTGTCTAGAACTGTGTCAAGATTAGCTTAGACTGTGTAAGGGTAGACATGTGTCTGCTACTTATTTGTATCCACAGTGCATCAAGATATTGTTAATCTTCTGGGAGGGGGTCAGTATACTCCGGTTTTGCCCGGCTCTCTGCCACTCGCCCTGTGTCAGCCTCATCTGTGACTGACCCTTGGGAATGAAGGTA